GCAATGAAGAGTCCCTTAAACCCCATGATAGACCCAGAAATGATAGTTGATCTTTCTAGAGGAGGCAGTGTTTATAAAAAGAGGTTTTGAACAGAGAAGGACACAACGGCCAGAATGAAACATAGGAAAAAGGGCAATTCAGGGAGAAGGAACAAATTGAGTTGAAGAAGGTGACATGACCTGATACTCAAACAGCCCTGTCAACCCAGAGTGTGGGGTCCCACCCAGGAAAAAGATAGGTGCTCCAAAGATCAACTTGCACTTTGGAAAACAATGAAAAATGAATCAGAGAGTCTGAGGCTGGAGGTTGTAAGACTGGTGAGGAGGGTGTCAGGGTAATCCAGATGGGAAGTAATTGAAACTTCAAGGTAGGCCATGCGAGGACAATGCAGAGGGCATCCCACCGCTGGGGATGACAGTGAGCTAGAAACAGCAGGACTTGCAGACCGAGCGCAGGTGAGGACTGAGGGAGGAGAAGTTTCCAGCTTGGCTGGCTGGGTGGACCAGGCTGGCAATGCTGAGGAGAATTGTAAGAGAAGGAAGAAGACATGAGAGAGGGATGGGAGATGTGGAGAATGGCTTTTAACACATCGGGCTGAAGGTCTGCAGTGCGACGCTGGATACAGAGGTGGGGAGTCATCAGCATATACAGGGTAAGCAAAATAACCAGAGCAAGCTGTAGAGTAGGAAAACAGCTTCAATAGAGACATGGGGAATATTCGTCTTCAACATGCGTGCAAAAAATAAGGAGCCAGCAAGGGAAACTGAGGAAGGGCAGTCAGAGAGATGAAAGGAGGAGAAGAGCCTAACTGTACCCTCACCCTCACTAGAGGTTTCTTTTCTGGAAAAGCTGACCTTAAAAGTTCTGGACCCAGACACAAGGATGAGCAGCAGACTGAATGCAGGGGCAGGGAGTGGGGAGAGTTTGCACCTAGAATGGTGAGATTCTCATCTCACCTCCCCAGCCTATTCCCAGAAGGCAGACAGGTTACTGGAGGATTTTTCTCTTTGGTAAGTTCTGGAATATGTGCTTCAAAAGATAGATGATAGACGATAGATCGATCGATCGATCAATAGATAGATAGATAGATAGATAGATATAGATAATCAGACAAAAGAAGTAGAAGATCAAGAATCAAAGGGAAACAGGATTCGACGTAGGCAAAAAGGTGACCACCACGCAGCAGGCCTGGAGGGCAACCAGTCCAGACAGTATGAAGCAGAGGGCTGAACTGGGAAGGCCTCCAGGGAAAACTAGGAAGCGGATGTGTTTAAGTGTTTTGAAAATTACTGATCGGTGTTTGGCAGATCTCGTGCACATTTGGGAAGGATACACAGAAAACCAAACAGATGAAAAATTAAAGCCATTATTCTTTTGAAGGGGGACATTGGTGAGAGAAAGAAAACACAGTTGGTGTATACTACTTGACAGAGAACAATATTGAAATTTACACTGTGAATATATAAATATATACACGGATAATACATGCTGGCTGCTAATTTATCAAAAAACGTGTGATGTAATCATATTGGGAGAATGAAGATAGGGGAAAGTGAGAAGCTAAATCTTCAACCATCAAAACGGTAATGAGAGACAAGAGATCTCTGAAGTCTGAAAATAAAAAGTCAGAGAACAAGCATTTTATTCAAAAACATGGAGATGAATGCCAGAAGAAGCAGCTAAGAATTGGAAGTGGTTTTCTCCAGGGGAAAAAGCGGAGGGATCAGGGAAGAGGTAAGGAACGTCTGTCTTCATTGTTGTTGAGAGCTGGCTGAGAGTTGAACTACGCATATGGATTTTCTTTCTTTTTTTTTTTTTTGAGCTGGAGTCTCACTCTGTCACCCAGACTGGAGTGCAGTGGCCACTCCCGGCCACTGCAGCCTTGACCTGCTAGGCTCCGGCGATCCTTCCGCCTCAGCCTTCCAAGTAGCCAGAACTACAGGCGCGCGCTATCACGCCTGGCTAATTTTTTTTTTAGTCTTGAACCCATGGGCTCAGGCGATCCACTCACCTCAGCCTCCCAAAGCGCGGGATTACAGGCTGAGCCACCGAGCCCGGCCGGATTTCTTAATAAAAATGAAAAGCAAGGAAAGAATTGATGGGAAGTGTAAGAGTGGAAGCAGGGATGTCGAGTGTCCTTTTGCAGCTTGCCTGAGCAAGGGAGTATCCAGGGCGGTAGCTTGAGGAACTCACAGCTGAAGATTTGCTAAAACGGGAGAGGCTGCAGCGTGTGTATGGAAAGGAGACGGTAAGACAGCAGAGACCAAGAGATAAGTGACCACGAGATCCTGAAGGAGGAGGCGGAGGGGACGCACTCAGCTCCATCTGGGTTGGGGAAGTCTTGGAATCACATATCCCTGTTTGCCGGGAAATCCTCTCTGTGACCATATGTTCATGACCTTGTCCTCTCTCTGCCCGCTGGCCTCTAGTATCAGTGTGCTCTTATCGACATCCCTGTGGGTTTCCCGACTGGGGAAGTCTCACTCTTTTCTCCAGGATTCTGAATCTATGGCCAAATGAGAAATTCACATCTTTTAACAGCTTACATTCTTGGGCTTGTTTTCATGTCCCTGAAATTATACTCTTTCCACACTACACACCAAAACTACTTCTTCACTACTTTCTTGAAGTCATTCAAGTAAAAGATCTGGTTACTCCCTCAATGGATACTCTGAAATCTCTAGAGACGGTCCGATCACCGTCATGAACCAGTTCTCACTGGAAATGTCATAGAGATGCTCATAGAAACTGAATAAAAGCAGCTGATCTTGATGTCAAGCCCACATTTTTAAGAAATGATCGATACGCTTAAGGGCCATGTCCCGTGTTCAGAACATTTCTGTGTGTGGGGTGACTACCACCATAGTGTACTGAAACAGTGAACACATTAAAATTATTCTTTGTGGCTATGGATACTGTGCCCTGCAGTTCCTTAGAAAGCACCAACACATTAAGAGTCTGGAAACGGTACACACCTCCCCTTGGCCCCCGGAGATCTCAGGGTGGGACACAAGCAGCAGCCCTACACATCAGCCATGGTGCGATCCCTTTTCCTTTACTACACAGTACGTTTCAGGACAAAGAAAAGATTCTCAATTTTGAATCCTACTCATCCTCCCAAAAAGCACATTAAGTTGCATCCAAAAACACTATCTTCACAAATGAAGCAGGAGTTGGAGTGCATTTGCTCCTCTACCTCCCCATCCCCAGTGGATTTTATTTCTAATATGTGATTTAAAGCAAAGCTACTGGCCAGGTGTGGTGGCTCAACTTGTCATCCCAGCACTTTGGGAGGCCGAGGTGAGAGGATTGCCTGAGCCCAAGGATTCGAGACCAGCCTGGACAACTTGGTGAGACCTCGTCCCTACAATCAATCACAACAGCTAGCTGGGCATGGTGGCATGCGTCTGTAGTTCCAGCTACTCGGAAAGCTGAGACGGAAGGATCGCCGGAGCCCAGCAGGTTGAGGCTGCGGTGGCCTTGAGTGTGCCACTGCCCTCCAGCCTGGACAACGAGAGTGAGACTCCAACTCAAAAAAAATAAAGAGCACTCCCCCTTGCAGGTGGTATGGACTTCCAGGAAGAAGACGTGAGCCTGGTGTGAGCAGGCAGGAGCAAAGGTAGTCACAAGTGGCAACAAGATTCCAATAAAAGTCCCTGAAGAATGGCAGGGGGAGTCCTCAGGAATGCAGCGTTTGGTTTTTCTGACGCCTCGTTCGCTCAGTAAGTTAAGGTAGTAAGTTAAGGTACGGTCACACCCAATACTTCACAGATGCAGGGGGGTATTAGTGAAAACTGTGAATATCCTTGTTTTTCAAAGGTTGGGTGTCCACCTTATGAATGGGAAAAACCTCTTTTAAAATATACAAGTCAGTCCTATAAATGGCAAGCTCTCTTGTGTAAGCTTGTCCAAAGTCATATTTCGTAAAGTCTTCTCCGCTCATCTCTCTCTCTCTCCTTTGACCCTGAAATCTCATTATTAAGGCAGGCCTTTGACATGGTTGCTCAGCGTCTTTTAATACAATGCTGAGAACTGATGAGCAGTAGGAAACAGAGATCCGATTCCAGTGACTGTGAAAACAACAAGGCATCCAACTCTACCATCACGCTTAGAATTCAAGTCCAAGCCCTGCATGCAGTGGGAAATCTGGTGTGGGAAAGAACTCACCAAAGAGCTTCTTTATCATGAAGCATGTGACTTCATGGGCTAAAAAGTAATCATTTCTCTTTTTTAAAAATCGGCCTTTTCCAAGATATCAAGAACAGGTGCTACTCGTATAATTTTGGGACAGTCACAATACGAAAATGAAAACGTAAAGATCTGTGATTTTGTGTTATAGTACTTTTGTGAAGTTTACTCAACGGGCTGAAAAATGTAGGCACAGAAGCAGCCTCCAGGAAACCTCGTGTGCTGAGCTGTCGTCTCCCAGCCTTGAACTTGCTGTGGTGATGTGGTTACGATTTACACAGTGTATAACATGTTAATATCACGAACACACCTGGCATTTTGCATCCACACTCTGTTTCATGCTTATTAAAACATGCTAGAAAATTATTCAAACTAGAGCAAAACGGAGAAGAATAATAATCCATGTCTCCACACCACACACACACACACACACACACACACACACACACACACACACACACCAGACTGTAAACTGGTTGTACACTTTTAAGTAAAGTCCATACTTAATGGAGTATTTGAATTCGATATCTGAACTTGATTAGGTGATCATGATGACATTTTTTTTCTTGGCATTCATGTATGGAATTTACTTTCTGCTATTTTCTGTCCATCACAATCTCTGTTGAGCTGTAAAGGGCCATTTGACAGCTCTGTTTAAACGGTTCCCCAATTTAAATCACTGCACACATGAACGGAGCTTGAGTCTGACACTAATGGTCTTAAAATTATTGTCTAAGAAATTCTGGGAATCTTACAAAGGGGTTAAAACGTCTACAGTACACACAGACACACACAAATAAGTAAAACTCTGTTTTTAGGATTCCAGGTTTCATTTCTGTTTTATTTCACATTCAGATTATTTCCTGAAATCATCTTAGAGGCTTTTGTTTTGGCAAAATTTTGGTGGTCCAGGCTCTGTGATAGCCATGTTATGTTTTCTTTCTTTTTTTCCCCCAGCACATAAAGCAAATTAAGGGTGCGATAGAGGCAAATGACAATTGTTAAACTAATTTCTGAAAAATAAAAAATGATTGTGGAATGTGGTCTGTCACATTTGGCTTAGAGTTAGGAGATCTGGGAGCCAGTCCCAGAGAGCATGTGATCCAGCCCACATCTCACTGATGAGGAAACTGAGATGGCTTCACTGAAGGGTCCACTTGCTAGAAGCAAAACTGAGACTAGAAGCCAGGCCCTGCCTCGGGCTGCAAACAGAGGTGCTGCTAATTTGTTCTGTTCCCAGCATTAAAGCCAATGCACAAGATAGAAAAGACACGTGGCTATTAGTTGGTTATTTTACGATCACAATGTTCAAAGCTTAAATTAGTGCATGCAAACAGTTGACACAATCAGAGGAAGACCAGCATTCACGGCAGCCGTAGAATCTGCACAACATACCCCCTCAGCACTGCCCTCAGCCCTTCCCCCCTCCAAGAGAGGTAGCGCTGCCGGCTGTGGATTTCTTCAGCTCTATTTTCACAGACTGAGTCTCAGCCCGAGGCTCGAATTTGGTCAGATTTCCTGCTCCTGGGACTGCCACTACTGGCTTTCCTGCTTTCATACCTTTTGACATGGGAATGCGGGTGGGCGTAGGCCGCTGGGATGACCCGTCTTGTCCTGACTGTAAGAGAGAAAAAACAGAGACATTGGGAGACGTCGGGTGAGTTCCCCAGAAGTGCCACCATCTGAACAGAAGCAGGACTCCCGCCACATGACCACCCCCCAGGGGACCCTCGGCAGATGAAAGGAAGGTAAGAAGCTTGGAGTTGGTCTCTGACCTGCTCTGATGACTTCCTTTTCTTTCTCTGGAAACAGCTTTGCTTGCAACTTCCTTCTCTTCTCAAGCACTGATTTACCTCCCCCACCCTTCTGGAAGATGCCCTCAGCTTCTGTCCTAGAGGAAGTAAGTCTAGGCCACCAGGTGAATCATTCCTGCAGCTCCTGAGCCACTGCCACTCTCTTCCCTCCCTGCACTTCAGACATAGCAGGTTTTTGTACCCTCCTGACGACCCCAGCACTACTGCCCACGCCCTCCTCGCAATCTCCAACAATACTCTGGCGGTGATTTCTCAGGGGGGTCTCACCAACTCTCCTTCTATCGACGCTTTTTAATCTCACGATGGCGTCTCTTCACTTACCTGCCTTCTAGGTGTGCTATCACCATATTCCAGTCTCAGTTCCCTTTTAACTTTTCACATTCTCCAAGAGCACCGCCTTAGCTGTCAAGCCCTGGACCTCCAGGCTTTAAAGCTCTCCGGAAAGATCTGTGTTCCCAACTGCTCATTCCAGTATCCCCTGGACATCTCAAATACTACAGACCCCAAAGGCTATCCCCTCTCCACATGGTCCCCTGTATTTCTCCTCCTGTCCATCCCTATTGCCAAACCCAAGGCCCAGAGCCACCCTCTAAACTCGATTTGCTATGAATTGTTTTTGAGTCTATCTTCAATGTATCTCTGTCCTCTCACTACCATCGTTCAAGCCTACACCATCTCTAGCCAAGAGAATGCCAACAGTGTCCCCGTCCTTAGCCTTTGTCCCCTCCAATTTACCCTTTACACTGCTTTGCAGACATTTATTTCTATCACGTGAATAATGTCATATTTTTTCTCACGATCGTCACCCTTTCAGTGGCCTCCTTTGTCTATTCCATGAGAATTCCCATTCCATAATAAGACGTGTGTCTCCCTTCAGTATCTAAGCCCCGTTTCCATCTCTATTTTCCGCTCCTACATTTTTCCTCACACCTGACTACAGCAGCTGTCCTGTCCACATACGCCTTCCCTTTCCTTCTTAAAAGTCCTTATCTGAAAACCTCCTCCTCTGTGAAGACTTCCAGCAACTCTTTTGTTCATACGTGTATCAGAACCAGTGAGGAGGCTTCAATCTGACCTCTCCCACTAAGCCAGAACTTCTGAAGTCTTCTTTGCACGCCAGCTCTTAATCCCATGCTCAAAGTGTACTCGACAACATTGAATGAATAAATGCACTCGTGAGTTAGCCTCACGGGAGGGCAACCCAAACCTTTTGTTGTCCTTGATTTTATAGGATCCGAAAGTGGACCATCATTCAGACCTTTGAAATCTTAGCCAGTTGTTTTGAAATTTTATTTGTGTGTGGGGTTTCATCAGTTGTTTAAAATGTTGCTGCAGAGGGTAGCACTATCTTGACCTGACCCTTGAAATGGAAATAAAATGTTATAGCAGAAAACCTACTCTCAGTTACAATGATTTATACCTCCACTATCTTTTTATAAAATGCAGCAGAAAGAAGTAAGACCCTACACAACCAAGCTATGCTCTGTGTTGCCTAAAAAGCAGTATTGAGCCATTTGAGAAGAGAGAACAATTCCAAAGGCTATTTGAGTCCTGTGGCGTTGATAAAGGAATGCTTTATTGACAACACAATGAGTAATTCACACTTGGAAGTCTGTCTTTAGTCTGTGTTTGTGCATAGAGAATTAAAGTAAATTATACTGAGGATATGGGAAAATAAGCCACAGTTTCTCTATTTAAGTTATGAACTTCCTGTCTTTTTTAAGAGATTTTAATATATCTGTAGAATTTGTTCAGAGTCTAGGAGTTATCGTTTCTAGTCTATTCGCCTAAATTAACATCTAAATAGTACATGCTCTTCCATAATTACATTTACCAATTTGTCTCCAATAAATGAAGACTGGAAGTATTTTGAAAAAAATAGAATTTGTTTGTAAGCCCTGTTTTTTGAACTTTGGACATGCTTTTTAATAATCCAGCTTCCCAGCTAGTTATTAAATAAGTATTTATGAAGCAACTGCTCTCGGAAAAATATGATGAAACAAAATTCCCTTTTTAAGCCTACATACTCACTTCTTTTACTTTCAATGAATTCTTTTTTTGAATAAAGGATGACTTTGGCTATACATAATCACGTATTTTATATTTTAGATTACAGAACTACCATGTAGAAACAGTTTTAGTCCTCCCTGTATATTGACCACTTTCCCCAATATCCATTGTAAAAGCATTTCAAAATCTAATCTGAAACCTTACAACCACTACATGCTAACATTTCCAAGAGGCCATCTTTCCAAGAAACTTGAGGGAGTCTCTGTAATTTACACGAATGAGTGAAATCTCCCTCAAAGTTGGCCTGATATATCAAGCGATGAGGTTTCCCCCCCTCCCTGGTCCCTCCCTCCAGGACCGCACCTTGAAGCCCCCCTACTCACCACTGACTGGGTTCCTCTGGCAGAGGAGGTAGTGACCGGGGTGATGGTGATGGTGCTGGTCACCTTGCTTGCCCCAGGTCGTGAGGAGAGGTGTTTCCTGGGAGAGCGAAGGACTGTGCCGGTGGCAATCTCTTTGTCGGCCGTCACGTTGACCGGCCGGACAGTGATAACCGGACTCACCCCCTCTGTGGAAGGCGCTGGGGACCGCTTGAACTGAGAGCCCAGGTGGATGTGAATCTTGTTGTCTTCCGTGGTGATGATGTTGGCATTGGAGTTGTACTTCCGCACTGGAGTTGGAGCAGTCTGTTTCTCTGGGGTGACTTTGAGGACAGTCCTTCCCACGGGCATCTCCTGGGATTCGGGAGAGGCTGCAGCCTCAGCTGGTGCTGCCGACGTAGACACCGTCATGATCTGAATGGGGGATGTGGGCCTGTCTGCAAAAGGGCCTCTTGTACCTTCTGGGGTCTTCTCTCGAGAAAACGTGGTGATCGTGACCGGGGACATGGCTCGCTCGGGGCCAAGAACAGAGTCTCCACTTTTTTGTTTTTGAGACATGACATTCGGTGATGGAATAATGGTTATTCTTGGCTTCTGACTCCCTAAGGTAGGAATGACGGTGGTACTGGAAAAAAACTCCTCCGATGTCGGGCTCGTGATCTCCAAGGTTGCAGTACTGTTCTCGTGGTCCGGTGTCACCCGAATGTGCAGGGGCTGGCCCTGCTTTGGTGAGAGGACTAGCTCTCCTGGGTGTCCCGGACTGGGATTGGCTCGAGGCCCTTTCTCCTGAGCGCCTGGGGGCCCGTTTTCCCTTTTTCTCATCCATGGAATCCAAGACTTTCTCATGGTGAGCTCATTTGCTGCTGGGGGATACCTGTCTAGGACAGAGGACCGCTCCATAGGTTTTTTCAGTCCCACCTGCCGAAGATTATTCATGATATGATTTTCTTCTTGGAAGGATTTCCGTATGAACACGGCCGGTGTTTCTTCCTCTGCGGCTTCACTGCTGACCACATCCGTCTGGACCCCTGTCGATGTCACGGGGATGTCCACCATTCTCCTTCCATTCACACTGGGCCGGAGAGCACGACTGTAGCGCTTGGAGAGCTCCAGCTCTTTGGTGAGATTCAGGACCTCCTGCCCCATGTTTTTGTTCTTGCTTTCTTCTTCCATAAATCTTTGTTGGAGGACAGAATAATCTACCTGGAGCTGAGAAAGCTGATCTTCTTTGTTCATTAATTCATGAATCTTCTCCTTAAGAGCTTGCACTTCAGCCTTTAAGTCTCGACTCTTAGCTTCTTCCAGCCGAAATCGGTGTCTCAGTTCAGCCTCCTGGCTCACAGCCTCCCCTTTCTCTATTGCTTTGTTCTTGGCAATCTGGTGCTTGATCTCCTCCAGCTGTTGAGAGAGGAAGTTCGCCTTATCCTGCTCAGTTCTAAATTTCTGCTCCAGCTGGTCATACTCATCCTCGGTTTTCATCAAATCCCCCTCGATCACCTCCAGTTGTTGGAGACGTTTCTTCAGTCTCTCGATCTCAAGGGTCAACTCCTTAATCTTATTGTCTTCCGGGCAGGTGAGCTCGGGTCCTTTCCGAGCCCTCCCTCTTGTTATTTCTCTTTCTACTTCCTCCATACCATCAAGTCTCTTCTTTAGTAAGTCAACACTGCAGCTTAGCTCAGAGGACTTTTCTTCTTCGTTTTTCAGCTTGCCAATCAACTCGTCTCTCTCCTTTGTCAAACTGTACACCTTTTCCTCCATTTCAGATTTCAGTTTCAAAAGCTTCTTGCTCTCTTCGATGAGCTTTTCAGTGACGTCCATAACTTTTCCTTGTTCCACCTTGAAGTTTCGGTTGAGCTCATCCACTCTTCTCTCTTCTTGCTTTATTTTTTCCATCATGTTTTGCCTTTCATCCACTAGCATCACGGTAAATGACTTCACCTTTGTAAGATCGTCTTTTAAGCTTAATTCAGCCTTTTCTAGTCTGCTTTCAGAACATTCCAGTTCTTTAACTCTACTCTTGACCACCTCCAATTCATTGAGCAGGTCTTTGGTTAAATTCTTTTCCCTCTCCAGACTTAGATGTAGCTGGGCGCATTCAGACTTACTCTTGCTAAATGCTTCTTCCAGTTTCTCCAGTTCAGACATTCTCTTCTGCAGTTTCTCCACTTCGAGCTTGAGCTCCTTGCTGTGATGTTCTTCTTCCTGCAGCTTCTTCCTCAGCTCCCTGCATTGGGATTCCGTCTTCGTGATCTCTTCATCTTTTCCCTCCATCTCCAGCACACGCTTTCGGAGACTTTCCACCTCGGCCATGAGGCTGGAGTTTCCACATTCCCCTTTGGCAATTTTATCTCTCAGTTCCTGAAGTTCCTCCTCTGCCTTTTGAAGGTTTTTGTTGGTCTCTTCCAGCTCCTCAATTCTTTGGGTTAAACCAACCAGCTTGAGTCTCAGCTGTCTGTTGTGAGACTCTTGGTTAGCCAGCTTGGTATTCATCTCTTCATGCTCTTGAGAAAACCTCGAAGCCTTGTGTTCAAAGTCCACTTCTAACTTCAGCAATTTCTGTCTATCTTCTTTGGATTTGGAAGTGATGGCCTTGAGCTTTTCTTCTTCTTCCCTCAGTTTCTGAGTAAGATCTTGTACTTTCTGGCTTTGCAGGCCGAGCTGCTCGATATGCATTTGTCTTTCATCCACCAGCATGAGTGCAAAGGACTTGAGTTTGACAAGCTCATCTCTTAGTTTGTTGAGGCGTTTGGCGTTTTCCTTTTCTTTGCGGGCTTGGTAAGCCTTTTCTTGTTCAAGGAGCTTTTTCAACCTAGAAGACAAAATATAACTATATGTTAAAAGAGTAATCAGCAAATAGATTTGTCTTCACTTAAGTAAAAAAAAAAAAAAAATGCTACTACGCTAAATCCCTTATTGATTGCTGCAATATCAAAGTTTTTTAAAAAGCCATTAATGCAACTAATCAGATGTCAGAATATTGGTTACCCTTAAAGAGAGGTAGTGGCAGAAGGGGGCACAAGGAGGACTTTTGGGGTCCCAGTTGCTATTCCCTAATTTGCATGTTAATTATGCAGGATTGTTCAGTTTATGGAATTGCAGTAAGTTGAACACTTATAGGAGTACCTGTCCACATGTATATTGCACTTTAATAAAATAACCATGAAGTAAAACTTAGGCTGTGTAATAATAATGACTATCTATAGTGTGTTCTGTATTCTAGACATTGGTACTTGTCCTCACAGCAACCCTATGAGATAAGTGTTGCTATTATCATTGCCATGAGGAAAATGAGACACCCAGGGATTATGTCACCTGCCACAGATCCCACCATCGAGAAGCCAAGAGGGCTCCAGAATTTTTGTTCCTTACCTTGGTGTCACATGACTTCAAAAGAGAAATTTACTTTAAAGGAGTGGGAAGGTCCAGAAAAGAAGCACCTTTGGGGTTTCTTATTTTAAACCCTTGACATAAGCTATGCAACGATTACCTGAAGAGGACAAGGTAAGACAGGGTTTCTGATACAAAAGCTGGTCTACATACACTGACTTTAGTTGATACCAGAACCGGCACAGGGTTTTTTTTTTTTATTTATACAGTTTTGTCTTGTTTTTTTTTTTTTTTTGAGTTGGAGTCTCACTCTGTCGCCCAGACTGGAGTGCAGTGGCCGCTCCCGGCCACCGCAGCCTCGACCTGCTGGGCTCTGGCGATGCTTCCGCCTCAGCCTTCCGAGTAGCCGGAATTACAGGCATGCGCTACCACACCCGGCTGATTTTTTGATTTATTGTAGAGATGAGGTCTTGCTGCCCAGGCGGGTCTCGAACCCACGGGCTCAGGCAATCCGCTCACCTCAGCCTCCCAAAGGCACAGGATTACAGGCTGAGCCACCGAGCCCGGCTTTGTCTTGTTTTTTAAGAGAACTAGGTAGGGAGGAAGTCTGTATTACTTGCAGTATAAAAATGTGACAGCCACAGGAATTATTCTTTTTAACATGTATGAAGTGCATTTTCTCTTCAGTGTTTACGTCTAGCTTTAAAAAGAAGGAATATAAACATGCTAGACTATTTGCCATTCTAGTGCTGGTTAACTTGTACCAATTTTTTCGTTGCATTTTCTCTTCTTTTTTAATGATGCTTCTTGGGCAATTTGTTTATCTTCCATAATACAAATATTTACTATTTGTATAAGTCTTAATATCATAGTGAATGTGTATCATGGTTATCAATTATACATATATTAGCATAACTTAATTGAAACTGACATCAAGGCTAAATTAAAGGTTATAATTAGAACATTTTAAAAGTCAAACGTATTTGTTTATTAAAATTTATTTGCTTATTATTAGTCCCATCTTTTCTGTATGCCATCAATTGAAAATTATGTTGCTTTTAGGTAAATATTTTAAATAAATATTCTATCATTATGAATTACACATGTCTCATGTACCATTAAACATTAATTTTTCCCTAAAGTGATTGGAAAATATGTTTTCTCAATAGTAGATATTATCCTGAGTGGTAGAGGTCACATGGAATATCTGTGTGGGTATGCTCAGTACTGTTTTTTTCTTTTTAACTTGTACCAATTTTTAACAGTTTTTATATACCCATAAAAACAGAGTTAAAAGTATAATCGTATTCACTGTATGTTAGCATAAGAATGTATTTTAGTAATTAATATGTTTATAAGAGAAGCAAGTTACAAACAACCACTAACATGCACTTATTTAAGTACCTTTCATTCTTTCAGTGTATTTTGCACCTTTATTATTCCGACTGATTTTATTTTATATTTATGATGACATTATCTGACATTGAAATGAAACTGGGAGGGTGAAAAACCAGCCATATCGCTCCCTGACCTTCCCTGGCTTCCTAGCACTCTAAGCATGGAGGAGTGAGAGCCATGACCCAGCCAGATGTCCTCTGCGGTTTTTCTCAAGGCAAGCTCTCCCTGCTATTTGACACTCCTTGAACGTGCTGTGTCCTCTGCTGAGTATTTTCTCCTGCTCCTCCTTTCACCCTGACACACACACCTGAACGTGCCTGTCTGATTTTTCACCTTCCGGATTTCATTTCAGTGTCACTTCCTCCAGGAAAACTTCCCTGACCAACCCAACCAAGACAGCTCTTTATACAGACTCCCGTAAGACGCTGCAGCTGCCTTTACAACACTGTCAGTTTCTAATTTTTAATGCCTCTGTCAGTGCAAGTTCCATGAGGGATGGCGTTTGTTTTGTTCTCCTGCTAGCATCATATCTTACACATAGGAGGTGCTCAAGAAGCACTGACTGAATGGGTAAACAAAGGAAAGAATGAATAAAGAAGTTTGAACTAGAAATTTGGAAATGCCTGTATAGGGATGTGTTAACTCAGGCCTCACAGTGCTGAGCTGAGTATGAGCTTTGGTTGAGTGGATACTGTAGTTTTGATTAGACATGCATAGTGGCTATTAGACAAATGTCTCTGATTTAATGAGCAATGTCCTCCCTTAAAGATTGGGCTCATCCTTGTTATCAGTCTCTTAGAGAAGAAATGTATCTTATGTGGACCGACCAAGGCAGCCCTCCCTGTCTGTCTACCTTTAGGACTGGTGGAGGCATCCATCCAACCCATAATATTTAGGACCTCCATCCAACCCATAATATGGCTCTGGGAATATTTGAACCCTAAACAACATTGTGTAAAGCAGACTGAGTTAAAACTTGTCTCTCTCACAGGTTTGTGTGTTCTTGGTGTGTCATTTTTGTTCTATCTGTCAGTTTGCTTTAGTTCTTTCCTTAAAGGTTCTAACCTCTGCTACCCAGAAACAAGGGGAGGCATCTCCCTCACTGGATCCACAGTTGGATCAGAACCCTGATGTTGGAGCAGCATACCCTGGGCCTAGTGGGAGGGACCATGGTAAAGCAAGGGGAATGCCCAAGAGGAAGGAAAAGCATAGGGAATCATGGGGCCAGTCTGTCAGCCATTCCACCCTACACAGCAACTCTCTCAATGCTTGGCAATTCTTGGATTTTAATTTCCTGTGTTCCTTAGACACAGGGATAAATGTGATCTCCAAAGGAGAAGATATATAGAGAAAAAAAGGAGAGGACGGGATGGAGGAAAAAACTTTGGGAAAAGCCCCAAAAATAATGGGTAAAAAGAACAAGGAGAAGTTATGAAGGCCGAGGGAGAGGAAAGGGAACCCAGCAGTGCAGGGGTGACAGGGAAGGCAGCGCTGGGCCCTTCCATCAGTCCAGCACTCTACTGCATGTGTATCTTCTCTTCCCCATTGCTAGAAGTCCTCATGCCACAGTAGATGAGCATCAGCATCCTAGTCTGTGTCTACTCACAAGTCAGAGTGCCTCTGGCATTTTTTCCAGCAATTTTCTAACGCTTACCATTTCATTTTGCACGTCAAACAATCAATTTGCTCTGCACCCCTGGGCCCCATTTCCATGTAACTATGCTATTTTAGGAGCAGAACAAGAGGCTTAAGTGATGCTCCTGCCAACCAGTGTCACCACCTCCCCTCCATTCGACTCCCTGGTCGCCATCCCATCTTTAGCTGTGCCCTGGATCTAAACATATTTGCATAAAAAAGGAAACAAGCCAGAAGACTAAGACTTAATAAGTGAATGAGTGTCTTGATTCTCATCAGCAGCTGGAGGTAGAGCCTGATGATATCTGAAATCAAAGTTATTCTTGGCAAATTTTACATTTTCTGCATTTTGCCTTATTTAGAGAACAAAAGAAGACAAGCAAATGAATCAATTGAGTTTTTAAAATTCTAAGTTCTTTTGCCTTTCATAATAGCTATTTCCCTTGTTTGTTTGTTTTTTGAGTCGGGGTCTCACATTATTGCCCAGGCTGGAGTGCAGTGGCAAATCACAGCTCACCATAGCCTCGATCTCCTGTACTCACTGGGCTCAGGCAATCCTCCAGTCTCAGCCTCCAAGTAGCTGGGACTACAGGCATGCACCACCACACCCGGCTAATTTTTTTTTGGTACAGATGAGATCTTACTATGTTGCCCAGACTGGTCTCAAATTCCGGGACTCAAGCAATCCTCCTGCCTTGGCCTCCCAAGGTGCTGAGATTATAGGCGTGAGCCACTGCACCGAACCCATAAATATTCTTCAAAGTATTCTTCATTTCTTATTTTATACTGAATATACTCATGTTTTCTAACTTGCTGATGTGTCATTTTATAAGCATATTCAGAAATCCAATTATTTTCTACTAGAAGACTTTAAAAATGTTGGCCCAAATGTTCTCTGATTTTGATGGTATATAAATTTGTCAAAATCCATCAGATTATATAATTAAAATTGGTGACTTTTACTGTACCTAAATTAAGTCTCAATTAAAAAGTAGAGGAAAATAACAAGCCCTGGAAAGTGTTCCAAGATGCTGGATAAAGGTAGAAGGTTGTAAACAAATATTATGAGAGTCACCTAAAATATGATAGAAAACATAAAATTGGTCATTAATCTTAAGGCAGAAAGAGGTGGAAGCAGAGGTAGGAGGACGAAGAGAAGAGAACGGATATTTTTGGGGCTGAGGACACAGATGAAAAAGCTTGTTCTGGTGTTATGGTTACAGGGGGCGGGTGGGGGGGAAGTATTCTTTCAAGCAGACAACTGCAGGCAACTTAAGATGGCTAGCAAGCTTGGATTTTTCAGACATTTCGTTGGGAGGAATGCTTCAGACCCTAGGAAACCTCTAGTCCTGATGTTATTTCAAGAGGCTCTGGAAAGCCACCCCAGACATGCTAAAACCTAACTTTAAATATATGAGACAGAAGGAAAGTCTCCCAGGTAGTGTGTTA